AAATAAAATGAAAAAGTCATGACTTGCACCCCATGTCACCTACACAGAGCCTGTCATCCTGCAATGACTCATCCTTTGAGAATGATGGAGACAGGCTCATGTCTTGATGCTGACCAGCCTGTCTTTCATTTGCAAAAACAAGGCCCCAGTACCAGCCTTTCCCCAAACAGCCTCTCCAGGGCACTGCCTCCCCCCTTGCCTGGGTCTTCACTGCTCCCCAGAGAACCTGGGAGTCAGGAAGGAGGGGCTCACAGGAGGTAGGAATCACTCTACTCCCATACGTCTTTCACTTCTTTCAACTCAATGTTCATGAGCCTCTTTCTCATTCAGCAAACAAATTCTAAAATTTTTCAAATAAGTTTATGACCCCCCCCCAACTTTTATTTACTTATTTATTTCACAATACTAGAGTTTGAAATCAGGGACTTACACTAGCTAGGCAGGTGCTGTACACTTGAGCTATGTCCTCAGCCTTTTTTGCTTTAGTTATTTTTCAGATAGGGTCTCAGTAACTTTTTGCTCAGGGCTGACCTCAGATCATGATTCTCCAACTCTCCTCCTCCTGAGTAGCTGAAATTACAGATGTGAGTCATTGTGTCTGGCTTTAGGAAGTCTTGATACACTCTGAATTAATCCTTTGGTGGCTAGATTTTTTTTTTTTTACATCTATCTTTTCCTACGGTCTAGCTTGTTCTTTACTCTTTTTTAAAAACCATCATAACAGAATTTAAGTCTAATGAAAATATGTTTATTAATCTTATAGAGTTAGTTTTACTTTCAAAAGTATCAATTCAGGGTTAGAAGTATGATATTCTATATTTTTCTGCTACAAGTTTTAATATCTTTTACAATTTAAGACTTTAATTCTTTGGGACTTGACTTTTGTGCACAGTATTGAGTACAAACCCCACTTATTTTTTTCTCATATATATAAATAGTTGGCCCAACACTGTTTATTAAATAAACCCTTTCTCCCCCTTCTCTCTTTCCCTATTCTAGATAACACCCCTATTTTTTCCACATTTGAGTGGCTGTATTTTGGGGCATTCTTTTCTATTCCAGTGATCGATGTCAACATTGGTAATACTCTTGTGGTTTTTGCTTTGTTTTCTGGTAGTGGGGATGGAACCAGGCTTGGTGTATGCTAGGTAAGCCTCTATCACTTGAGCCATGCCCCAGCCAGCCCCCAACCCTGAACACGTTCCCCTCATAACTGTGACTTACTAAGTTTCAGTATCTGTTTCAGTTTCATTCTTAAGCCTTTGCATTTAACTTTCAGATTCAGCTTGTTCAATTACTTTTTAAAATTCTTACTAAGATTTTTGGCTGAAGTCTCATCAATAGGAAGAGAACTGACATCTTCACAAAATTAGTTCTCTCATTTGTAAATATGGCACACATCCCCATTTATTTGCCTTCATTAATGTCTTTTGCTAATTCAAAATTTTTTCTCTTTGCATATATTGCCCATCTTTTATTAAGTTTATTTTAATTTCTTTGCTGTTAAGTGATTTTTTTTAAATGAGGCTTTCTGAGTATTTACTGATTGTGTTAATTTTGTTATGCTTTTCTTATAGCTAGCCACCTTTGAAAACTTTACAATAATTTCTGAAAAATACTCTTGATTTACCTGAGGACAAACATACCTTCGAACGATGTCAGTGTAGGTTTTTCCTTCTCAGATTTCAAATCTTGTTTTTTAGTGGCTTCCTAAGCTGGGAAGACTGTGGTAGTAGGAATCTTTGTCTCACTCTTGATTACAAAGAGAATATTTTAACATGTTTCTAGTAAGAATAAGGTTCATAGGCACTTTTTAAGAATGAAGTTAAGGATTTTCCTTGTTTATTTTTTATTAACTTGCATTGATGAACGCTTTGCATTTTGAGATAGTCTTGCTTTTGTCGTTAACTTTGGCCATGTGATTAATTGCTCTTGAAGATTTGTCAAGTTAAACCTCTTGTACATTGTAGCAATTAATCTATCTTGTCTCAGTGTGCTACTTTATTTTGTGCAGTATTGTATCACCATTAATGTACGTGACTGCTCTTATTTTCTTTGTACTGTCCTTTCCTAGTTTTGATATCAAGTGGTACTTAGCTCTTAGAAAGAGTTGTACTGCTTCACTTGCTTTTCTGTTCTTTTAAAAAGTTTGTATAAGTTTGGAAAGAAACTTTCTTGAAACTTTACTTACAAAACCTCTTAGCCTTCTGTTTTCTTTTTGGAAAAATCTGATTATTGCCTTAATTTCTTTAATGTTTGTAGGACTATTTAGACTTTCTACTTATTCTTGAGTCAGTTTTGCCTTTTTATTTTTAAGTATTTGGCCACTTTGTCTCAGTTTTCAAATAAAGTTATCCATAAGTTTTATCTTTTTAATCTCTGCAACACCTGTGTATAGTCTTTACTTATTCCCTATTGTTTATCTGTTCCTTCTCTCATTTTTTGTTTCCTGAGTAGTCTTGTAGAGACTTGGTATTTTGTTAGTTTTTTCAAATAATTGACCTTTTCTATTTCACTAATCTCTTTATTTTCTTTATTCTACTTTATGAAAGTTCATGCTGTTTATATTTATATTTTAAAGTATTTTAGCCTCTTCTAATATAGGTAATTTAGTTTCTATACTTTTTTCTAAGTATCACTTTGCTGACAAGTTTGATATGTAGTATTTTCATTGTTTCTCAATTCTAAATGTTTTAAATTTCTAACAGCAATTCTTTTTGTCCTACGCGTTATTTGTAAGTATTTTTAAGGTTCCAAATGTATTGTTTTCTACTTCGTTTCAATATAAATTGCACTGGGCTGGAAAACATCTCCTGTTTCTTCTGTCCTTTGGCGTTTGTTGACAAGTGGTTTACAGACTTATAAAAGATTGACATTTGGAAACAAGTCTCACGTTCACCGGAAGACATCATGTACCTTATAATTACACTCAGAGTCCCTGCGTGCTTATCAAATAAATCCTGTTATTATATGGCCACCTCTCATTAATGAAAAGAAGAATGATGGTTTCACCTATTATGGGAAAGATTTCAGGGCTTCCCGGAGGTTCTGTGAGATTTTATTTATACATTTTGTGAATCTTATCAAGAATACTTGAGTTGAGAATTCTTACTTGAGCTAACTTTTTTATCATTATATTGCAATCTTCTCTGCCTTCAGAGGCTATTACACTAGCTAAATGAAGTACCTTAGGGGCCTGGGGACATGGCCCTCCTTGAAGGTACTACTGGGCCGCTCTTCTTATTTGCCATCTGTATTTCCTTCTTGGTAACATTTCTTGTAGCTTTTTTTTTTTTTTCCTGTTCTTGAGTCTGAGAGTTCTTTGTATGATTTAGATACAGCTCTTTTGTCATATATGTGATGTGCAAATGTTTTCTGTCTTTGGGGGATTGTCTTTTCATCTTTTAACAGTATCTTTCACGGAGCAAAAGCTTTTCATTTTGAAGAAGTCTGATGTATCCATTTTTGTCTTTTGTGAAGCCTGCTTTTGATGTTGTATCTATCTGTGACCCATGGCCACAAGCAAGGTCACAGATTTTCTCCAAAGTTTTCTTTCATATTTTTATAACTTCCTGTTTTTCTGAAGTCTGTGATGTATTTATGGACCAATTTCTGTACGTAATGTGGATAATGGATCTGGGCTCACGTTTCTGCACATCGTGTTTCATCACAATTTGATAAGGAGATTCTTCTCTCCATTGGACTGTCCTTGTACCGTTGTCAAGATTAGTTGATCTACATCTCTTTCTTGGCTCCCATTCTGTTTCATTGATTCAGGTTCCTGTCCTTTTGCCATCACCATTCTCTTGACTATTTAATTTTATAGTAAATCTTAAAGTTGTATCATGTGAATCCTGTAACTTCATTTTCCTTCCTAGAAATATCTTCAGTCATTCTACCTTCTTTGCACTTTAATATAATTTTGGGAGTCAATTTCTCTACATCTACAACAAATCCTATTCAAAGTTTTTTTTTTGGTCAGTATTGAGGTTTAAGCTCATGAAGTCATGCTTACTAGGTAAGCACTTCTCTACTACTTTGAGGCATGCCCCCATTCCTTTTTGCTTTTTTACTTTATTTTTTTCAGATAAGATCTTGAGCCTTTGCCTAATTTGGTCTCAGATCACAGTCTTCCTACTCCTGCCTCCCGAATAGCTAGGATTATAAGTGTGTGCCACCTCACCTTGCCTCTGTTGAAACTTTGGGTTTACACTTCATCAGAGGTCACTTTAGGTAGACGACATTTTACTATGTTAAGTTTTTTAATCCACAGACACAGTATGTCTCTCCATTTATCTAAACCTGTCATTTCTTTCATAAAAATTTTATAGTCTTCTAGCCTGTAAGTTTTTTTATATATTTTGATAGATTGTTGCGTAGTTATATTAGTAATTTCTAAAGGTATTTTCAATAACTTCATTGCTGATGTGTAGAAATACAATTTATTTTTGTATGTTTATCTTGTTTCACACAAGCTTGCTAAACTCATGTTAATTCTAGAAATTATTTGTATGTAGGTTTCTTGGCATTTTCGGCATAGACAATCATATTGTCTGTGACAAAGGACCTGGTACTTGGTTCCCAGGCCTTTGCAGTGGTATTTGCATCAGTGGCCAGAACTCTGGGTTTGTCATTTATCTATCTCTTCTCAGATTTCTGCTACCTTCTCAGATCTTTTTTGGGGGAGGTCAAGGAGCGTGGGTGTGGAAACCTGCTTAATAAATAAATTTATGGCTGGGAACAAAAGAGGTGTGTGTGTTGTCTTTCACCCAGGTCCCAGTCTGTAGCAGAGGACTCCAGAGTATCTGGTTTACAGTGTGCTGGTTATTTAGTGTTCCCAGTAAATTTCAGGATTGTCTGTATATTTTCTTACTAGGAGTTCCTGCTAATGTCTCTGCTTCTCTCATGTTGCCCTAAGAGCAGAGAGTGGGGGAATCATTACGAGGCAGTGTTCTTTTTTACTTATTTATTTTACTGATCTGTTTCTCAATTCTCTGTTTAGGGCTGAAAAGACTGAAGTTCTGAGTGAAGACCTTCTTCAGGTAAGGGTGTTATTGGCCAATGGCTTGTAGACACCAAAGATGTTTTCTTCTTGGGCTGAGCCGTTCCCTGTGCTATATCAACTGCTTCTGCTGCTCCTTTGACAAAAGTTTGGGGCTAGGACATTTCGTCTGGTTATGTTTGGCCCTCCGTGTGTGCAGGTACACGTGGATCCATAGATTCAACCAAATGTGGATCAAAAACATTGGGAAAAATTGCATCTGTACCAAACACGTACAGAATTCTTTTTCCCTATCATTATTCCCTAAACAATGCATATAGCAGCTTTTTCCACAGCACTTCCATTGTATTAGGTATTGTAAATCATTTAGAGATGATTTCAAATACCTAGGAAGCCAAATGACAGTTCTAGGCAAACCCTGTGCCCTTGTACATAAGGGACTGTGTGTCTGTGGAATTTGGTGTCCTGGGGGTCCTGGAACCAAGCCCCCAGGCACTGAGGGAGGCCTATCCTGATTTAGGTGAGATTCTTAGGGAAAAGTTTAAAGTCTCACTAAGAGGCTAGCAGGAGGGCCCCAGCATTGTGACCGTTCCCCCTCTACCCATCATTCCACTGTGGGTGTTTTGCTTTCCCACAAGTCTTGGTCTCTGTGGAAACATGGGTTGTAACTGTCAGCCCCACCTCTCCTGAGCTCACCTCACTGAGGCCCCTCCCACTGTCTGTCTGCAGGTGGAGAAGCGACTGGAGCTGGTGAAGCAGGTGTCCCATAGCACGCACAAGAAGCTCACCGCGTGTCTGCAGGGCCAGCAGGGGGCAGAGGCCGACAAGCGCTCTGTAAGTGCCCTCTGCCAGGCCCTAGGCAGTCTCCTGAGTGCAAGGCCAGGGTCCCACTCTGCTTTGGGGCCTGGATTGATGTGGCTATTTAGTGAGCACTTATGTGTCTACTGGGGGCTGGGCAGGCCTTGCTGTTTGCTGATGCAGTGGGTCTCTTCACATTCCCATGGGTCTTGCTCTGTAGCCCTGCCAGAAACTTTGTCTGTCCTTGACCTTCCCAGAACAGGGCACCAGGAAGCTTCACCCTTGATGGACATCTTACTCTCAGTTCAGCTCCTTTGCAGATTCCTTGTGTATCAATAGCATCTCAGATCTCACAGACAAAAAATTATACCATGTTTTAGAGGTCACAAGGGACCTGCAGAGGACCTCAAAAATTGTTTTCACCACAGTGAGGTAATAAAGAGCGTCTGCTAAATAAAGCTGCTGTAATGTCTTTCTTACCTATGTCAGTAGTAATGCACTGTAGAGGGTGGCGCCGTTTAACAGTCCTTGGCATTCCTACAGTGTTTGCAGTCTTCCTTCCCTCCCGTCCCTGCGTCCCTTAACTCCACTGGATATGAAAAAATAGCTTTAGACACTCACTTGTTTTATTACAAAGGTTTGCAACCTAGGAGATGTTTTCTTTTTCCTTGAGTTTACAATCTTCATGTTTGCTGTCTGTTAGATTATTTCTTGAGCTGGACTCAGTGTTGACTTCTTGCCCATGGCATCCTCAACTTCCCTGCTTGTATTGGTCTCCTCTCTGTTGTGTAACTCAATGCACCTGGACACTTCCTCCTGTCTCCTGCTGAGGTGCAAACACCTGCTCTGCTTGCTTTACCCATCGTTTCTTTTCCTCTTTCCTGACCTGGCTTCTTAATGCAGGTTGAGTCTCCCTTATCCAGAATGCTTGGAATCAGAAGTGTTTTGGGTTTCAGATTGTTTTTCAGATTTTGGAGGATATGTATATCTATAATGAGATATCTCGGTGCTGGCACCCAAGTCTAAACAGGAATCATTGGTAATCCATGCACACCTAACACACATAGCTTGAAGGTAATTTCTATAGTATTTTTCGTGCACCTGTGTCTTGACTGACACATGTCATATGAGGTCAGGTGTGGAATTTTCCATTTGTGGCATCATCATTTAGGTTTGTAGAGTTTCACATTTGGTGTTCTCAACCTCTATTCTCAAGTCAAGAGGCCCGAGCAGTCTGAAGTGGAGATTGCCTCGTAAAACTGCTTTGGACATGAAACCCTTTCATCGAACAAGTGACACCAGGAGCCGTTCTGGGGACCTGGAGCTAATAAGCTTGCTGCCTTTGATGCATGTCCTTTCTTTTGCTCCAAGAAGCACTATTTTTAAAATAATCAGTCCCAGGTACGGGATCAGGGCCTGAAGCCAGCCTTTGGTGTTGATAAGTGGATTAGTTCAGCATTACTTTTCTGGGATAAGACAGAGTTACCTAGATTTGCAGAGTTTTCATGGATTGAAAGTCTTGCAGATTCTAAGTTAGACTTTTGGCTTTCTGAGCATTCTAAAATATAGTGTATGCATGAAAATTTGAGTTAAGGCAAGACCAAGAGATCAGTAAATGACTGAATTGAAAAGATGATTTGTTACTTATAGTCCCCAAGCAGAGGGGTCATGCCAAGCCATGCAAGGTCACGGGGAAGCTCCAGGGCTGGTCAGGAAATAGAGGGAGAAGGGATGTAAACTAAAACCTTTATTACAGCTTCTGTGGGAAGGAGGAAGTGAGGCAGGGTAAGAAGATTCAGGGTTGAGTGTTAAGTAATCCCAGCAGCCTTTGAAGTATAAGGACTGTCCCTAGTTGTCTGGTACATGGCTCCCAATGGGATCATTAGGCAAGATGAGTAGTGGGTAGTGGTATGAGGGCCTAGTAATGGAGGTGGTGGAGTCCAGGCTCCAGGTTGGTGGGTTTGCACGTAGAAAGCTCTAGTTGAATGGTTTACTATCTCTGGGAGTTGACTAACCTTAGGAAGGACAGTGCCCAGGGCTAGCAAGGTCCTGGGACCTCAAAGCATCTGTATGTAGAAAACAAATGTCAGGGTTATTATACTGACTACTAGTGCTGCCAACAAAAAGGCACTCTCTGTCTCACTTCACAAGATGTCCCAAGAGGTATTCAGCAACTTTGGGTCCACATCTCTGTGATGCTTGTACTCCCACTTTTGATCATACTGTAGCTGCTGCAGCTCCAGACATCACATCTTCATAGCCACATTACAGGCAGAAAGTGTGAGGGGCCTTAGAGCACAAATTATCCTTGCATACTTTTTTATCAGAGAGGGAAAAAAAAAAGTCTGTCTCAGGATTTCTTTTGTTTCTTTAGCTGCAAGGGAGGCCAAGAAAGTGATATAAATCATAGAGAAAGAGGTTTCCATGACTGGCCATGATTCACTTGCTGGGCATACAGTGTCTGGCATCTCTTAGCATGAAAGACATGCAGTGGTTGTTGTCAGGCTGTGAAGGCTACGGCCGTAGTGTAAAGCAGGCACCTGGGAGACGTCTGCAAGGGTGTGCCCAGGCACACAGTCAGAGAGTTTCACTGCAGTTTCCAGACCATGATTTCCTGGGCTGATCAGCCTTTCTCTGTCATACTGTGCCTGAGTTCTGAAAGTCAAAAAGCCATTTAAAGTGTTGAACTTTCACAGGACCACAAGAAAACAATTTCCAAAGCCTAGACTCAAATAATTTTTTCCCCAAAGTAATACATTAGGATAGTTAATAGGAAGCATGACACTTAGAATCAGCTCTAGTACTGAAAATGTTCTCGGGTCTTTGTGATGATTAGGTAGGTATAGGGTGGCGGGAGGCTGCAGGAGTGCATTCGGGGCAGAGGAGCTGGTGCTGCAGAGGCTTGTGAGGCAGATGTTTGAAAGGACAGGCGCTGGCTGGCATCAGTGTGTGGGGCACAGCCATCAGACCTCAGGATCGGGAGCAACGTTGTGGGCAGTTCTGTGTTTTATTGGAGCAGGAGCAGGAAGAAAGTGTTGCTTTCTTTTATTTCTCTTTTACTAAGCTCATTAGCTCTTTTATTAATGTATATTAATTGTGTAAAATAATGGGTTTCATTTATGTGTACAGCGTGCTTTGATCCTATCCCCCCTGTCTGTTACCCTCTTCCCTAGTAGTCTCTCCATACTTTCAGGTCTCTTTTTAAATCTAGATTTTGTGCATGAGAGAAAACATGTAATACTTGCCTTTCTGAGTCTGGCTTATTACGTTATTTCCTTAACATGGTGATCTCCAGTTCCATTCATTTTCCTGCAGATGATATGATTTCGTTCTTCTTTATGGCTGAATAATACTGCATTTTATGTGCATGTATTTATATCTATATCTGTCTGTCTGTCTGTCTATCTATATCTCACATTGTTTTTATCCATTCCTCTGATGTTGGGCACCTTGTCTGATCCCATGACTGTGCTATTGCAATAGTGCTGCAGGAGGTGTGTGTGCAGGTGTCTCTCTTGTGTGCTGACTTTGATTCCTTTGGACATGTGTCCAGGAGTGGTATAGCAGGATCAGATGGTAGTTCAGTTTTTAGTTGCTTGCGGGCCCTCCATGCTGATTTCCATAGTGGCTACACTGACTGACATTCCTCCCAACAGTGTGTGAGGGTTCCCTCGCATCCCCTCCGCTTTTGTTGTTGTCTGTGCTCTTAATGATAGCCACTGTGACTGGGGTGATTTTGATCTGTATTTCCCTGATGGCTAGACGTATTGAATATTTTTTTATGTATTTGCTGGCCATTTGTACTTCTTTTCATAATTGTCTATTTAGTTCATTTGCTCATTTGTTAATTGGATTATTTATTCTTTTGGTGTTTCATTTTGTGGGTTCTTTATATATTCTAGACATTAATCCCTTATGGGATGAATGACTGGCAAAAATTCTCTCCCATTCTGTTCACTCTGATAATTGTTTCCTTTTCTGAGCAGAAACTTTTTTTTTCCCCCAAGTGCTGGGGTTTGAACTCAGGATCTTGCACTCTACCAGTTGAGCCATAACCCCCAACCCTTAAGTTTATTTTTCAGATAGGGTCTCATATTTTTTGCCCAGGGCCAGTCTCTGACTCCTGTCATTCTACCTCCACTTTCCACGTAGCTGGGATTACAAGTGTGTACCACTGTGCCCAGCTTGTTTTTTTTTCAAGATAGTGTTTCACTAATTTTTTTGCCCTACTAGCCTAGAACTGTGATCCTCCCATCTCTGCCCCCGACATGCCTGAGATTGCAGGCATGAGCTGCTGCACCTAGCCCTCTGGAAACCTTAATTTGATGCAATCCCATTTGTCAATTCTTCCTCTTATTTCCTGAGCTATGGGAGTCCTGTTCAGAAAGTTGTTGCCTTTGTCTAAAACTTTAAGCTAGTTTTTCCCCTCGTCATTTCCAAGTTTCAGGTCTTATAGTAAAGTCATCAATCCATTTTGAGTTGATTTTTGTACAGAGTGACAGATGGGGATCAAGTTTCAATCACCTACATGTGTGCATACAGCTTTTCTAGCACCATTTGTTGAAGTGGCTCCCTTTTTTCCAATGTATGTTTTTGGAATCTTTGTTGAGAATCATAGCTGTGTGGTTTATTCCTGGGTCCTCTTTTCCTTTCCATTGGCCTGCGTATGTTTCTGTGCCAGTATCATCCTGTTTTGTTACTGTAGTTCTATAGTGTGATTTGAAATCAGGTATTTCAGTACCTCCAGCATTGCTTTTTTTGCTTAAGATTGCTGTTTGGCTAGTTGGGGTCTTTTGCAATTCCATATGGATTTTAGGAAATTTTTTTTTTCTAGTTCTGTGAAGAAAGACCATGAAATTTTGATGAGGATTGCATTGAACTCATTAGCTAATTAGCAGTTTTGTTATAATTTTCAGTCCTTCAGTGTTTATCCTACACTCTCAGAAGTTTGGCCCTGAAAAAACTATGGCTAGTTGGCAGAGGGGACTGGGCAGAGAAATGGAGTTTTATTGCCGCTCTATCACTGACCAGGAAGA